TGGATAAAAGATGAAGTTATCTGCCTAAGCGCTCTAAGTCTTTGGCATTAACCGTTTCCTTTAGGTGATCCTCATGGGCGCACTAGAAATAAAACTTCTTCAGGTTTTTCGCGTTCCAGGTCCTCGAAATTTGTCTTTTTTCCATCCTTTCTAATGTGTATGCACCACTGCGACTGGCTTCGATGACCTTGTACGGTCCTTCCCAAACGAGACCCAGCTTGCCCTGCGGTTGGGCCCTACTTGCTTCATTGCGCCTCAGCACAGGGTCTCCCACCTTGAAAGCCTTTTCTTTGACCCTCTGGTTATAATATCTCTCGACAGTGTGTTTGTAAGCGGCTTGTCGGACGCTGGATTGTTCGCGTTGTTCTTCGAGGAGGTCCAGGCTCATCCTTAGGTCTCGGGAGTTGGCTTCTTCTTCAGAGTGGGTTACTCTTAGCGAGCCCACCGTCAATTCCGTTGGTAGCATTGCCTCTGTGCCATATGTCAGGCTGAACGGAGTCTCTTGTGTGCCTACTCTCGGCGTTGTCCTGTATGACCACAGTACGGTTGGTAGTTCCTCGGCCCAGTTACCTTTAGCTTTCCCTAGACGCTTCTTGATTCCATTGAAGATCGTTCTATTGGACACCTCTTTCTGGCCATTCGCTTGAGGGTATGCAACCGATGTGAACCTCTGCGTGATTCCTTTGTCAGCGCACCATTCTCTGAACGAGTTCTCAGCAAACTGTAGCTCGTTATCGCTAACGAGTATCTTGGGAATCCCAAATCTGGTCACGATGTTTTTCCACATGAATTTAATCACTTGTCTCCCCGATATACATTCCAATGGTTCAGCCTCTATCCACTTTGTGAAGTAATCTACTGCTACGATAAGAAATTTTACCTTGCCCGGGGCTTTTGGGAACGGTCCCATGATATTTATTCCCCACTGGTAAAATGGCCACGGGCTGGAAATATTTGTCAGGGGAGTCAAGGGGTTTCCCTGGACCGGGGAGTATTCCTGACATTCCACACATTTTTTTGTTAATTCCGACACATCTTGATGTGTGGTTGGCCAGTAGATGCCCATGCGTAGCACCTTTCCTACCAAAGCGCGTGCTCCCTCGTGCGCGCCCGTCTGGCCAGCGTGTACCTCCTGGAGCGCTTCCTTTCCCTTGGCCTCATCTACAAATTTGGGCCAAGGTGTCGTAAATCCTTTCCGATATAGTTCCCCATCCACGAGCGCATACGAGGGTGATTTAACACATATTTTCTTGGCCTCTTCATGGCTGTCTGGTAGAATACCGTGCTGCAAGTACTCGATCAGAGGGGTCATCCATGTGCGTTTGGAGGTTGTCAAGGTGTTCACATGTCGCTCGTCTATGCTTCTTTCTTTGAGCACCTCCACTAAGACCTTCATGGACAGGTTGTCGAAGCACGTTGACGCCAGCTTGCTTAGGGCATCTGCCCTTCTATTCTCACTTCTTGGTATCTGCTTAATGACAAACTCTTTGAAGGGCTTGACGAGTCGCTGCACTATCTTGACATACTTCTCCATTCTCTTATCTTTTGTTTCGAAGCTTCCGCTGATTTGGTTGGCGGCCAGTCTTGAGTCTGTCAGGGCTACCACTGCTTTTGCCCACATTTGCTTGGCTAACCGTAGGCCGGCGAGCAAAGCCTCGTATTCCGCCTCATTATTGGAAGTGTGGAAGTCAAAATGGAGGGCGTATGTGACTTCCTCCCCCTCCGGGCTGGTCAAAATTAGGCCCGCTCCTAAGCCTTCCCTGCTGGACGCACCGTCCGTGTATAAGGTCAATCTCCGATTATCCTTTGGTGTTTTCCCTGTCGCTGGTATTCCTTCCTGGTTCATTTCTTCCCCTCCCCCGGGGATTTCGAGCAGGAAATCTGCAAGCGCTTTCCCTTTGATGCTTGTTCGTGGACGATAGTTGATGTCGTGTTCGCCTAATTCAGTTGCCCATTTTACAAGTCGTCCAGAGGTCTCTGGCTTGAGCAATATCTACTTGATTGGACAGTTTGTTAGTACTTCTATCTGGTGTACCTAGAAGTAGCGCCTCAGGCGCCGAGTGACATAGATGAACGCGAGCACTAATTTTTTAAGAGTGGGAAAAATGAGTTTAGGGCACTGCAATGCTCGGCTAACGAAGTAGACTAGTGTCTGTCTTCCTTCTCTTTCCACGACCAAAATAAAAGAGATGGCTTGGGTTGAGGCGAGAGATACATTTGCAACGTGTCGCCTGGGACAGGGCTGGCTAGCGTGGGTTATTTGTGCAAGGCCTCTTTGATTTTCTAAAGTGCTGCTTCTGCCGCTGCTGTCCTGGAAGTTATTTTTCTCAATACATCCCTTAAGTGTGTGAAAGAGTGGCATAGCCTTGTCAGCCGATTTCCAGATGAAGCGGCTGAGGGCTGTGAGCTTTCCGTTCAGGCATTGGGCATCCCTGAGGGTTCTTGGCAACGGAGTCACCATGAGCTCGTCCACCTTGATTGGGCCAGGCTTTATTCCTTTCCTACTCATATAGTATCCCAAAAACTTTCCGTCTTCCACTCCGAATGTGCACTTGCCAGGGTTTAGCTTCATCCTGACCTTCTCTAGCGTCTTGAGGGTTTCCTCCACATCTTCTAGTAGTTTCCCTTCGTCTGGGCTTTTGATGACCATGTCGTCAACATATACCTCGATATTTCGTCCAATTTGTTTTGCGAATATGGAGTCGACTAATCGCTGGTATGTTGCGCCTGTGTTTTTTAGCCCACATGGCATCTTGGTATAGCAGAAAGCTTTGTGGTCTGTGTAAAAAGTTGTTTTCTCTTCGTCTTCTTGGCTCATTAGTATCTGATGATACCCCTTGTATGCATCTAGAAGGCATTTTATATTGAACCATTGCAGCGATTCTACCTTCTGATCGATCTCTGGCAGGGGGTAACAATCTTTTGGGCATACTTTGTTTAAATCAGAGTAGTCGACACACATGCGCCATGAGCCATCGTGTTTCCATACCATGACGGGGTTTGCAATCCAGGTGGGGAAGATCACTTCCCTTAGGATCCATGCCTTTGTCAGTTTGGCTACCTCAGCATTGATTGCTCTATTGCGGTCTCCTCCTTAAACCCTCTTATTATGCTTAATTTCCTTCGCGCCTTGCTTGATTATTAACATGTGCTCTATAACTTCTCGGTCTACCCCTACCATGTCGGTGGGGGTCAATGCGAAAACATGTTTGTATTGTTTTAAAAGGTTGATCAACGCGCGTCTAGTTGATTTGGGGAGATACTGTCGACGTTGACCGGCTGATCTGGGTATTCTTCGTGGATGACCTCTTTCCCGTTTGTTAGTTCGACCCATGCCATCTTACTTTCTTGCGCTATTTCTGCCGGTCACATGACCTTGAAACATTGTAGCTCCCTTGGTGGGATTGCGAGGACTGTGTCTGGCCCTTCGGTGGTGCTAAATTTTATAATATCACCCATTGTTGACGGGACTGCTCCTATCTTCAGTAGAGTTGTCCTTCCCAGAATGATGTTGTGCTTTGCCGGATGTCGTATTACGAAGAAGTCGATTAGGGTCGTCTTCCTTCGTTGCTTGTCGTGGCTTGTCAGCGTTAGTGGCAGGTGAATTGTGGCTATGGGCCACAAGCTATGTCATGTGAAACGTATGAGCCTTCATGTAGTGGGCTTGAGGTTTTCCTTCCATCTGTCGGGGAGGAGACGAAAACAATGTTCGTAGATGATGTCTGTCGAGCTGCCTGTGTCGATGTACACCCTATGGATTATCACGTTTCTAAGGGACCCTTCGATTATGAGTGGGTTGTCTCGCTTCCAGCCTTTGGGTCGAGGATCTTTCATTGAAAATGTGAACCCTTGCATTGTTTTGGCGAGCCTTGTCAGGTCGTCCTGCTCGTCCTGTCTCTCCCTTTAGCTCGTATCATGAGGATTTCCTTAGGCTGAGCATGCTCTTTTGTTCGTTTTTGGCCTGAAATTTGGCGCGGAGGCTTCGTGCTATCTCGATGAGGTTTCCTTTTAGCTGTTTTTCCTCCATTTCCTTCTTCAACACCGAACAGTTGGTTGTGTCATGTGTTTTGCTCTTATGGTATTCACAGAATCTCCTTTTCGCTGCTTTCGCTGGCTGCTGCTTGTCTGCGACTACATAAACGTCTGGCCGTCGGCCTCGCCTGTCATCTCTGGCGAATGGCCTGAAACGCCCCTGCAAGCGTTTTCCTCGCCCAAAATGCCTGTTCCCGCTTTCTGTATCATGCGTGAGGTAGGCTGTGGCACCTCGCGGGAGTAGTCATGGCGTTTAGGTACGCCTGGTTTATTGCCTCCCCTTCCTCTTGTCTCAAATATCGTTCTACTTTTTCTTTCAGTTCGGCCTTTCAGTTCGGCCCGTGTCTGTGGTTTCTTTCCTATGAGATTTTTGGATAGAGGGCCCGGTAGGAGTCCCCACGTGAAGGCTCCTGCTATTAGTCCCTCGTCGTGCCCTGGAACATCCAGTGTAGCATTCATGAATCTCGTGAAATATTCCCTTACCGTTTCCCCTTCTTTTTGTTTGTAGCCGATGATGGAGTATGAGTCGCCTTTATACTTCCGTAATTGCATGAAGTTTGTAAGGAATAGGTATTTCAGTTGTCCAAAGTTGTATATGCTTCCTGGGCGGAGTGTTTTGAACCATGTTCCGACGTTGTCGTCTAGGGTCTTCGGAAAGTATGTGCACCAGAATCGTTCGTCCAGCTTGAGCGACGTCGTCGTCCATTCGTATGTGTCGATGTGGCTTTCCGGGTCTGTGGTTCCGTTGTAGGTTTTAAGGTTGGGGAGTTTAGTTGTGTTCGGAATTTCTTAGTCCAGCAATTCCTTGGCAAATGGAGATGTTACGCTACGTGATAGACAGTCTTGGTTGGGTATAGGCAGTATGCCTTGCAAATTGTAATGTTGGGCGGCTGCATGCGGTTGCATGATTGAGTTGTTGTAAGGCGTATAATAGGCAGGGCTTGGGCCATAGAATTCTTGTTGTGGAAATGGCAATGTTAACGGGTGGTTGGATGACATGGGCAGGTTTTGAGTGTTTAGGTTATTCGACACAACTTGTTAGTAGTGGGAATTTACGGGAAGGAGTGGTGTGTTCGCTGGAAACGGCGATGTCAAGAAAATCGGCGTTTGGGTTGTCATTGCTTGGGCTAGCGGCGACATTAAGGGAGTCACTTGTGCTTCCGGTGGTGTCTGGATTATCGGCGATGGGTGGAATGTTGATTGTGTGCCGGTCGTCTGAGTTAGTGGTGGCATCGCTTGAAGTATCGCTTAAACAGTGGTGACATTTGGGAAGCTACTGGTTGCACCGTTGTCAGTTGGCCCGTAGGTGGTGTTTGAAAAAATGTAGGTGGAGGCATTGTTATTCGGACTAGTATCGGCTGTTGGAGTGGAACTGGTGTTGTGACATGTGTGTTTGTCGTTGACGGCACAGGCTGTGGTTGGGACGTCTGCGCCGGAGTGATTGTAGTTAGGACAGCGGCGGAGGAAAAGTGTTCCTCGCCGGCCATTTGCTGTTGTCTTTCTGGTGGTTCGACGGTCACCACCGAACCACCCTCATCTGGAACCTCTCTGGCGACCACTATGGGTGGTGGCGTTTCTTCTAACGCTGCCATTGGTCGAATGGGACTAGCTGGTGTCCCACTGGAACCTCCGTTGTCGCCAAATGCAATTTCTTTCTCGTGAACAATGTGCTTTTGGTTGTGTCTTTCGTCACACAACGGATGGCGCCAAATGATGTGACTTTGAGCTCAAGCTTCGGCGAACTCCGATACTGGTTGTCTCGTCGTTCCTGCAAAGTCACAATGGAAAGAAGGCCGTTAGCCGTTTCCCGAGAGGAGCTCCCGGAAAGACGCTCTGACGGTCAAGTCAGTTGGGTGTTCTAGGGTTTTTTGGGTATTACTTGGAGAAGGCGACTTACCTGTCAGGGTTGTGGGTGTAGCCTTTTATATTAGGCGCTCCTGATCATCCGTACGAGACAGGATCGCTAGAGGCGACAGGATCAGGGGCGCTGATTGGAGGATCGTGCTCCTCTATCTGTCAGAGCGTTGCTATTGGTTCTGGCAATAGTTCCCTGATCGTCTGCTTTGTCGCTTGACCGTATGATTTGTCTTGGAGCGGAAGGCGTCCTTAGCGGGCACGAGCCTTTTTGTAGGAGCGCCTTGCTCTTAGAGGCGCTAGCGGGCATTGGGCTCCGTTGGGTCTGTCCCGCCGGGCGCCCTAAGCCTTCGCGCGTCCTGGAGCGGCTAACACGGTTCTTTTCGTGCTTGCTAGGGCACGTTATCAATCTTGTAAGCATATGGTAAGCTAATTTGCTTATTTGCTTTCTAAATTTTTTTAAATGAAAATTATAACATTTTCCTATAACTATTCCTTTGGTGTCCGATATGTCCTTAAATGCAAGAGACTTCATTAAACTTTTTTAAAAGCTTTAAACTTCAATCGAGTTATATATACACGCACGTACAAGATCACACACACACACACACCCACACCCACACACACACACACACACATATATATATATATATATATATATATATATATATATATATGTGTGTGTGTGTGTGTGTGTGTGTTTCAAATCAGGTTAGGGACGATGGCTTTTGATACTACAATGGAGGTGGTTAATGCAAAATAAGGTTAATCTATTTGTGCTTAACTATCACAAGAATAACACTTTTATGCTTATTGTATTATGTCATTTTCTATTCCTAACTTGAGATTTTTGGTCCATGTGTCAGCGACCTTGAGGCTTGTATCAATGCATAGGTGACTTACGATCCAAATCGCATGTTCTTGTGGTCGCAAGGACGATGATTTCGCTGGAAAAAGTATTCTCCGATCATGTGAGGTAGGCTAATATCTAAAACCCTTTTTGCTAATCTTTTTGCATTTTTTCTCATTACTGAAAGGTGTTGCAATAATACATGAAAAGTCTAACATATGTTGTTTGCTTTGAATTCAAACTGCTACTTTGTTATCTTAAGATGGGTTAGCTAAATCTTACCCGTTGTTAGCAATTTAAACAGGATGGCCACAAGTAAGAATATAACATTTACAGTGAGGAATTCCGAAAGACATTCAAGAAAGAAAACCCTGATGTGAAAGCTGTTTCAGCTGTAAGTACTACACAATACTTGTTATATTCTCTTGTTGTTTGTTTTTTACTTTTTACTTTTTTATTTTTCCATTTTATTTATCTTTCTGTTTATACAGGTTGGGAAAGCTGGGGGAGAGAAGTGGAAATCACTACTAGAAAAAAAATACTTTCCTCGACAGACGAATTACGACGTACAACAGTTTTATGACAGACATAAAAATGTCTGTCATTAAAGTTTGTCATATTTCATAAAATTCAAATGGTCTATGACGGACAAAACTGTCTGTCATAAATTTATGTCGTATGTTAATTTGTTAAATTTTAAATAAAAAATAAATAATGTGCATTTTAATGTATGAATTGATTTGTTTTTTATGAGTTAATAGGATACGCAAAAGACATTATATATATATATATATATATATATATATATATATATATATATATATATATATATATTAGTATATTACTTTAATTCCTAACACAGTTAAGAACAATTTACTTCTTTTGTTTCATATTTTGACACATTACTTTGCTTCCTTCTATAATTTGTCCATGTTTTTCGGTTTTTGATATTTTGATAACCTTATTTTGCTCGGTTGCTATAATGTATCCCTGTTTTATTATGTTTCATATTTTTGACCAAATTACTTTGCTCCCTTGCTATAATTTGTCCCTGTTTTTTAGTTGTTTATATTTTGATCATCTTATTTTGCTCCGTTGCTCCTCTGTTTGCCACGTTACTCGTTTCTCTCTAATCGATACTCATTTTGTATAACCGGATCAAGTGAGGGTGTATTTTGCTCATTTTATAAATGCAAAATGATTTTAGGGCTTTTATAAAAGGAAATCTCATGGAGGGACTGTATTTGTTTAAAAGACTAAATTAAGGAAAATTTAGGGCTTTTAATTGCCCTCGACTTCAACGACCGGGAAAGAAAAGGGGCATACAAACGGACGAGCTTATGAACGATCATAGTGAGGGGGAAAACACGAAGGAAACACGAAAAATGGGAGGGGTTCGATGGTTCTTCAACAATCGGTAGGGTGGCCGTCGTCAGAGGCCGTCGTCGGCGTCTGGATCGACCGGGGAAGAGAGGAGAGCGAAGGCTCGCAGCGGCTAATCCGGAAGCCTTAAACGATCGCGAAGAGGGAGAAGAGACGAAGGCATCGAGGCCTTCTCTTTCTCGTCTGGCGATTTCAGATCGATCACACTCGAGTGGCGAGCTCCGGTGGTCGACTAACCGAAGAAGGACGTGGGCAGAAGCAGTGACGCTGCTGTGGGGTTGGCTTACGTATTGAATCCCATTTTCCTAATGCTCCAAACTAATAACTTCTTTTTTTTTATTTGAATTAGGAAATGTCGAGTGATACTCCAACGATCGATCAAGTACAAAGGTAAGGTTCTATCGAATGTTCCTACATCTAATAATCTTTTAGTTATGCGTTTACTTCATTTTTTTACTTTTAATTTTCATGAAAATGCTATAAGTAGTTAGTGATATATTGATTAGGTTAAAGGCATATCGAATGATTCACTTGAAGGCTTTATCCTGCTAAAGAATTAGTCTAATAAATATGTCTTGCAAATTCTGTCCACTAGGTGTTCGATATAATGCCAAGGTGAGTTACAGACTTACAGTTTAATGTTTTGACTTTTTATTGAATAGGTTGAATATCATTGATCAAATAATTCGACTTTTTAGTGAATTCTATTGTTCTACATTGAATATAATCATTATTTATCTTTTTTTTGTTTAATTGTTTGGTTTTGGCTTATTTTAAAGCTTTTGCACCAAACAAATGATTTCTGATGGGGCCAATATTCTGCTTCTGTACAGGGCCATTCTCATAATAATGATTTTACCCGGGTAGAGTCATCTTGACTATTTTTAGCAGTAGGTTTGTCTTATATGCAACTGTTCATCTTAGACGATATTTTGCAAAGAAAGTTTTGCGTGAAGCTATGCACTACATGTCGAAGGTTTCATACTCAGGTTGATAAAAATCATTAATTTGTTCTAGGAGCTGCTAGATCTTGCATTCTTAGGGAGGAAACCATAAAGTTAACTTCAATGAAGGCATTCGGATATTCCAGTTTCATCCCTACATGACAATCCTACAAGTGTTGAGTATTTTGCTTTTTATAAGTATAAAATTATAAACACTTTTCATTGTAAACAGAATGATAGAATCAAATGGTGGCCAATTTATTATGAAGAGAATGAATGGATTGGGAAAGTCCAACTTTCTATCAGCAGTACAATTGCATCCGATGAAACTACACACCTCAAGGTTTGAAATAATTAAATAAAATTAGTTGTTCACGAATGTTGATTTTTTGTTTTATAATTTATATTAAAATGACAATGTGGACCTGTGGTGGAAACACTCGCGTATGATTTACTGTTGGAAGCTGCCATGTGAGCACAATGTTTCCATACACATAATCATGGTTGGCTTTACTGTATCAGGGAAGGACATTCTGGAACAACACAAATTCCTCATTTTGATTGGACAGGGTGTATTGTTTGACAAAGCTTCCTATTCTTTTTAACACATTCCTCAGTTTTATCTGAATTATCTTTTTCATATGTCCTTATATTTTTGCAGACCATTAAGGCCTTATCCCATATCAAAAAAACGTGTAATACCTGCAGGAATTGAGCTACCTGATTGGGCAGTTGATGTAAGTCATTAACAATCATGATATGTTTGCAGACGTTTTAAATTCATTAGATGTATTTTTCTAATGATATTAAATGTGTAACTTTGTGAGAAACTCCAAAAATCGAGCCCAATAGTGATCTGCAACATCTTACTAAGGTCAGTGAAAGTTTTGGGAATGATTTCCCAAAACCAGATATTGTCATATCAGGTTTTATTTTGACTTAATGACTTAATGTAAGTAAATCCATTAGTTAATTGATGGACTTGAAGTGTTTTACAATATTTACATATATAATTGTTTAATAGTTTATTGCTAATATATTAATTTGTCTCAGTTTTGTAGGGAAGAATGAATATACATATGTCGAGCTTGCATGATAGGGTGCGTGAAAAATGGGATATTTATGTTATAAACTTTATTTACAAGTGATATGTATTTGACAATTACTTTTTGATGAATTTGGAATGTAATTTTGAATGACACTATAGTTCGTGTAATTTAGACAATAAATTTGTAATTTAGCTTGATTAATATTTGGTAAAATATATATATATATATATATATATATATATATATATATATATATATATATATATATAATGTAAAAACTATGTCAAAAATCATGCTGTACAGAACATGTCGTAATTTGAAGTCGTAAATGTCTGTCATAATTACAAAAATGTTACGAATTATGACATTCAAAGCCAGTCGTAAATGTATGTCAAAAATGAATGTCATGTATGTATGTTATAATTGTTGGTCATAAAGGTCTGTCGTAAATTTTATGACAGACCAAATGTTTGTCATTTTCTTTTATGACATGGCTTTCAATGACAGACATTTGTCTGTCATGTATAGGCATTTACGACGGACATTGTCTGTCAAGAAAAGCCTCTTTTCTAGTAGTGAATCCCTTATGCAGCTGTAAGTTTTTGTCTTAGTGGAAAATAACTTTTTTACAGTATAAATTTTACTCAAATAATTAAATGGAACTTAGTTATTTTTTATCTAATCTTATCAGGAAAAAGCACCATATGAGGCCAAAGCTGCAAAAAGGAAGATTGATTATGAGAAACTAATGACAGCATACAACAAGAAACAGGTAATATTTTCATGTTAATTAATAACAAATTAACAACAAACATCATGACTTGTTTATTTACAAAGATTTATGTATAACTCAACAGGATAGCATTGCTGATGATGATGAAGAATCTGAAAAGTCAAAGTCTGAAGTAGATGAGGAAAGTGGACAGGTATTGTTAATGTTTTTTTGTAAAATTGACAATTGATTACAATAAACAAATCAAAGAAAGTATTGGTTTTTATTTTTTGCTTTGAAATAATTACAGGAAGGTGGTGATGATGATGAAGATGATGATTGTGATCAATGCTTTTTTTTTTCAGCAAAATCTGTCTGAATTCATTTTCAGACCAAACAAATATTTGCTGGAAATTTGCATGTTCATGTTCATAGATTATGCTCATGTCTTATCTATGTGTACTTTGCATTTTACACTTCAGTTCTTGCAGAGTGTTTAGCTTAGATTTTATTAATGATCTTTTACTTTATGTACTTTATCTGCGATTTCTCTTTTATTTTGAATTGAGTGTTGATTTTACGTTGTTAAGTGAGTTTCCTTTCAAACCTTTGTACGTAAACTAATTATTATGCTTTATGAAAAAAAAAATGTTTTTTTTTTCTTTTTGAAAGTATGACTGTTTATTAAAACTTCACATGTAAATTGAAAACGAGTTCATGGTGGAAGTGTCTCTAGTGGGGTATTTTGTATTGAAGTCCATGATAAACCATGCAAAAAGAAGTGATTATAACACAATCTACTAAGACATCAACGAATTTTGATTATCAACTGATCCTATTTCAACCCTCTTTCCCATACTCTACTATACTATTTCGGAAAGTTTTCTAAAATATATAAATACACACACCTCTGTTTCCTATACTCTACTATTTTGAAAAGTTTTCTAAAATATATAAATACACACACCTGACTCCAACCCACTTACACTAAAATATATTAACGCACACACCCCATCCCAACCCACCTACACCTTGTTGGATTAATCGGTTAATAGGAAACTTTCCTTATTACAAGATTTGTTTATATATCTAGTTTAAATAAGGTATTTTACGAAAACTTGATATAGGCGCTATTTTTAGTTTTGGTATTGGAATATGATTCTTTTTTTCTAGTATAAACTAGTTTATAACCCGTGGGAACCATGGTTACAAAATTAATTAAACTTTATAGTAAAAACTCAAAATTATTAATCAATTATTTTAAATAAATTATTAATTCAAAAATATTTTTTTAATTATATAAAATTATAATTGTTGATTTAAATAAACACGTGAAACTATATCACCTTATAATTTGTATTAAATTTTATTCTAATGTTATTAATTTAATGTAATTAGAGTGAGAAATTTGAAATTTGAAATGGAGAATCAATAGGTTGTCAAGTAGCGTGCATTAATTAGGAGGTCTAATAACACATGATAAAAGAAGAATAAAAATATGCATTAATTATGAAGCCTAATAGGATGACATATGACAAAAAGAGAATAAAACTATTTTTTTTTTATTATAATAGGGAGATATGTCTAGGTCCAGTTTTGGTTAATTCAATAAAAATCACATTAAGTTTATTTCTATTTTGTGCTTCGTGCATATTCACAAGAGAATCAAGGAATTAATCCTTGCAAGTTTTCTTTGATTCTTTCTTTTACGTTGGTGCATAAGGTTTATTATCAAGTTTTTGTCAACACTTGGTATCAAAGCACGGTTACGTTGAAGGGGGTGTGATTCGAGGTTGATTACAAATAGCCTCGGAATCTCTTAATCGGGCTTGTGAGAAACTAACCACAGGTGCGTGATAAATGGATGGGAATACATCAAAGCGGGTGGATTTGATTCAGTTCGTTTTGCAGGTGACGGAAGACAGTAAAGGTGGTTGCGACATTGTCTTGTTGTTCGGTGGAAGAGTGCTCTTGAAACAAGCTTGATTAAGGAGGCTGAGGTTGTCAAAAGGAGAATAGGATATCTTTGGTTAAAGAAGGAGGTTCGATGATGTATCAAGTTCTGGTTTTGACTCCAAAAAATTATCCGGTGTGGGCAGTCAAAGTCAAGTCGATTATGGATGCACACGACATATGGGAGACTGTTGAATCGAGAGCGTCAGGTGAAACATTGGATCAAAAGAAGTCAAAACAAACTCTTTCCTTTCTGTTTCAAGCGATACCCGAAGACATAGTGTTGAAAATGGCGAGTTACACCGACCTAAAGCAAATGTGGGATGGGCTGAAAACATGGTATTTGGGTGTGGATCGGGTGAAAATGGGTTGACTTGCAACATTAAAGAGAGAGCTTGAAAGTTTGTACATGAAGGAGGGTGAAACGGTCGATATTTTGTGACGAAATTATCCGGTTTAGACTCAAAAGCAAGGAGCCTTGGTTACGAGCTTTGTAACATCTTGATTTCCAAGTATTCCATTTTTGACATTTGTTTTGAGTATGGTTTGCAAATTTAGCCCTAAGGGGCATTTTCGTAATTTTTGGGCAAGGCTTGCGTACCCTGGGCATACATTTCATACGTTTGGCGTACGTAGCCAGGGTGCAAACACTAAATTTTAGGGTTTAACCCCATTGAAGCATCATTATGATCTCATACCCTTCCTTAACTCCAGTCTCCATCCCTATCTCGAAACCCTAAAGTGTGTGAGAGTGTTTTGAAGCTTGGAGAGTCATTTTGGTGCCATTTTGGTGCTCTTGGTGGTGAAGGAGGAACCTTGAAGTTGTGCTGCTTCACTCAAGACTGGGGATCCAACAACTACTCTCCCTTGTGCATCTTCTGGAGGTATAAATCTCCAACCATGATGAATATCTCATTAAGATCTAGTTCTAGCTTAAAGTTGGCACCTTTTTGTCCGAATCTTGATCATTGTGAGTATGGAATACTCCAAGACCTTTGATTTGTCCTTTCATATGTTTTAGGATGTGATAAGTCATAAAAATGTGATCCTGGACATTAGTTTCTTTCCATGCATGATCTAGGTTGTCTTAATGGGTCAAGAAGCTAGGGTTTTTGATGTTAAGGTCTTAATAGCCATGCAAAACCATAAAGTTGGAATCTTTATGGTTAAGAACACCTTTTAGGGCCTAGATCTGGATTTTGGACAAAGAGCTTAAGGATTAAGCTCTTAATTGGTTGAGTGGGTGGCAACCACGTATGGTGAGCGTACCAAAGGGTACGTTACGCATACTTAATCAACCCCTCGATTTTGGTCAAGCAAGTAGTACTCCCAGCAGACGTGTTGAGTACGCCCAACATACTCACCGAGTTGACCTGATTGAATCGGTTAACTTTGACCTGTATTTTGACCAAAGTTTGATCTAGATGTATTTTGGGTATTTTGAGTTTTGGTCACTGTATTTATAAAGGTGACTGGTAGAGTTGATTTTGGAGCAGCATGTTGTTTCAGTTTCTCATATGTCTATGAGGAGAGTCTTCTCATTATATCTATGGGTCGAAGGCACCAATGCCGACCCATTGTTGTGTTATTTAGGATGATATTTGTTATGTGGCTTATATGTGTTTGTATGATGGGTTGAAATAGACCCCATGGCGGGGCCCATTATCATATGTTTGGGTTGAAATACACCCCAGGGTGGGGCCTATTATTGCATGTTCGGGTTGAAAGATACCACACGGTGGGGCCCATATATGTTGAACGAGTTTAAATACACCCTAGGAAGAGGTCCCACAGCGGGGCCCATATGTGTATATCAGATTGGATTATACCTTAGGGTTAAGCCCATTTGTATGTTTTGGTATGTGGTACTTTAGGGAACTCACTAAGCTTTGTGCTACAGTTTATGTTTATGGTTTTAGGTACTTCTGATTCGAAAGGGAAGGGCTCGGCGTGATGGCACAACATCCACCCTTCATGATTTTCGCATTTTGAATAATTGTACTCTAATGTTTTGGATATTATATGGTGTTGGATTTTTAAAGAATTAATGAATAACTTGATAGCCTTTCAATGAAAATTTTTATCATTGTTTTTGTGATGTTACAAGTTGGTATCAGAGCCTTGGTTTGAGGGATTCGAGCACACTTTCGGGTGTGTTAGAACTCAAATTAAGGAAATGATATTAAAAAAAAAAACAAAATTGAATTTCTAAAAAGATTCTTACTAAGTAAAAAGGGTGCGATGCGTGCAATCAGACGAGCTTAAGTGAGTAGTTCCCAAAATTACCCATACATATGTGTTATGATTAGTATGCTTAATATGGGAATTGCATGCTAGCATAGGGATAAGGATAACTTCAGGAATTATATGATATGATTTTCTGATTTGTGTGATGCCTTATAGCCTAGGAGGATTGGATGCGATGTATTACTTGGGATTGATATCAAATCAGTTAATTGCTAAGTGTATGCTTTCAAAGTTGTATACGACTAGGATCATATAGCCTTAGAATGATTGATTTGGCCTCATTTCCTGTTCCTTGTTTGGTTGTGGACTTAGGGTAGAATCATCATTTGACAGTCTATGTGATTCCATTTGTGTATACTTGCATGCATAAGGCAACCAAAGGTGTTGATTAACGTTCTCAGTATTACGAGCGGTGGGAGTTGAGGATTCCTAGGAAAGCCTAGGACATGTATGTTGTTTAACATAGGATTAGTATATGGTTCTAGTGTGGTGACTTAGAGGAATCATGATGACTCTCGAGGAAGGTACAGATAGGTGTGAAAGGTAGTATTGGGCCCGTACTACTGGAAGCACAAGATATGCACCTGAGACAAGGGCAGACCTGGAGACTTTAAGGATAGCTGTATAGTGAGATTTTTCTCAAGCCTTATGCTGATTGTTATTATGTTTATGTTTCAGTTTGAGTATGGTGATGACTACTCGAGGAGGTTCTGGTTCTGGTTAGGTTCTGGCTCGGGCATAAAACCAATTGATGAGAGGCTGCGTGAGTTCATTGCAGCTGAGGTTACTCGCGGTATCTTGGATGCTACTCCTGTGATGTTCGGTACCATCAAGGAATGGATTATGGAGCTGATGGATGAGAGGCTCAGGTCTTTTTGATCCGATATTGCTACGGGTCAGATAGGAGCTCAAACTCCCTTATTCCGGGAGTTTATGGCGTGTAGAGCTCTTGAGTTATTTGGGGATAAAGACCATATCGGTAGCCGACGCTGGATCTCTGTCATGGAGAATACTCAACGAACGAGTTTTTGCGCTGAGGGGGCAAAACTGGGATTTGTATCCTACCTGCTGAGGGACCGAGCAGGAAACTGGTGGGAGGAGGTTAGTCGAGTTGTAGGGTCAGCAGCAGTGGCAGTCATGACATGGGAGGATTTTGTTCCGAGGTTACAGAGGGATTTT